GTCCTGTTAGACCAACCTGGTTGCCTTCTACAACCATGTCACAAAATCCTTGGATGCAGGTGTCATGGCGGACATAGTCTTTCTGGACTTTAGGAAGGCCTTCGACACTGTTTCTCACCACATTCTCATAAAAAAATTAGGTGACTGTGGTGTGAATGCCTATACAGTCAGATAGTCAGATGGGTTGAAAATTGGCTGGAGGGCCACACGCAGAGAGTGGTGGTGGATGGGTCTTTTTTGACCTGGAGGGATGTGAGCAATAGGGTCCCCCAGGGCTTGGTCCTCAGGTCCGCACTGTTCAATATCTTCATCAGTGACTTGGATGAGGGGGTGAAAAGCACCTTGTTCAAATTCACGGATGACACTAAGATGTGGGGCGAAGTGGGCAAGCTGGAGGAGAGGGACAGGCTTCAGCTAGATCTGGACAGGTTACAGGGGTGGGCAGATGAGAACAGGATGGGTTTCAATACTGACAAATGCAAGGTATTGCCCACGGGGAGGAAGAAATAGCAGCATACCTACAGGCTGGGGAACTCCATTCTAGTCAGCACAGAGGCAGAAAAGGATCTTGATGTCATTACTGATTCCAAAACGAACATGAGCCGCCAATGTGAGGACGTGGTCAGAAAGGCTAACCACAGCTTGTCATGCATCCACAGACGCATCACGAGCAGGTCCAAGGAGGTGATCCTCCCCCTCTATGCGTCGCTGGTCAGGCCGCAGTTGTGTCCAGTTCTGGGCACCGCACTTCAAGAGAGATGTGAACAGCATTGAGAGGGTCCGGAGGAGGGCCACTCGCATGATCAGGGGGCAGCAAGGCAGGGCCTATGAGGAGAGGCTACGGGACCTGAACCTGTTCAGACTCCACAAGAGAAGGCTGAGAGGGGATCTGGTAGCCAAGGGGGACCAGCAGGCTCTGGGAGAGCCTCTGTTCCCCCGAGCGCTACCGGGAGTAATGAGAAATAACGGTCATAAGTTGACTGAGAGTAGATTCAGGCTAGACATCAGGAAGCACTACTTCACAATCAGGGCAGCTAGGATCTGGAACCAACTTCCAAAGGAGGTGGTGCTGGCTCCTACCCTGGGGGGTCTTGAAAAGGAGGCTAGACAATCACCTAGCTGGGGTCGTTTGACCCCAGCATTCTTTCCTGCAATTGGCAGGGGGTTAGACTTGATGAACTGCTCAGGTCTCTTCTGACCCTACCAACTATGAAACTATAAAAAGCAGTGGATAATTTTGGAGGCACTCAAATACTAGGGAAATATATGCCACATCCAGACCATGGCACTATTGTCTCTTTTTTCAGAGACAGGGTCCACATGGATGAAAGGTGTTAGGACATGAGGGAAGCTCTCAGTGAATTCCTCTCATGGGAGGGCTCATGAGTAATTCTATAATTTTCTTATGGTTTCATGAAGATTAGGTAGAAAAGGTAATAGAGGCTTGGGTCCTTTGATAGCAGATTATAGACCTCTTACATACTCTCCCCTGAGTTTTGCTATGGAAAAAGGTAACCCAGAACTTATGACCCACTATACAGATCAATTTATACTTGTCTGTATGGATGAGACAGGATATGGGCCAGTGGATAGTGCCCTGAACAGGAAGCCAAGAAAATTCAATTCTCAGCTCATCTTTTGTGTAACCATCTCACCATGGCTTAATTCTTCCATTGATAACTTTTGTAAAGAGCTGCTAAGACTTATTGGTAACGAACTACTACTATTATTACTTGGAGGATTAAATTATTCTCCTGTGATACAAAACTATCATAACTGCTTCATAACTGCTTCAATTCCACATGTTTCCTGAAGCCCCCTTACAGGGGATATGTTGGGACCTGGATATGACATGGGCAGAATAGTTCCACACTCTGATAATTCCCAACCAGCTTCTCAGGGGCCTAAGTCCTTGTCTACATTACAGCGCTCTGTTGGCAAAGCTATGTCAGCTACAGGTTGAGGAAAGAGCACACCCTGTAGCCAGTGTCATTGTGCTGCCAACCCCACTGATACAGACACAACTCTCTGCTCGTAGAAGCAAGCTTCTGCCTAAAAAGCTTCTACTGTTTGTGGAACACGGTGTAACTAACATCAAAAACTTCTGCCAGTAGAGCTGTATCTACCCAATGATTACTGCAGTTAGTGTGGAGTAAGCCTTAACTAATTGGAAGATAAATTTAAACACTCTAAAAGCTGCTCTAATCTACAGAGCCACAAGTACTCTCACTATTACTGAGGAAGTTACAACAGCCTCTTTGCATACGATGATACAGATGAGAGTACAGACCCATGAGAAAAGGCCTTTACTGCCATCCGTACTCAGTCCCTACTCAAATACACTGTTCAAACAGGTTATTCCATCTCTGTGAGAAGACTTCTGAATTCTTAAAAGATAAATATAGGTGTCACTGGCTTGAATATATTCTGGAGAGTTATTGAGCAGATGATTTACCAGCATTTTGGTGTTCCTTTTCTAACAGGAAAATACATCTGTACGTTCCAAATTTTTCTATTTCTGGGACCTATGATGTAAAAGAGATATTCAGGCAAATGGGTGTGACTGATGTATTCACTGACCAAGCTGACCTGTCAGGAATTACAGAGGAAATTGGACTGAAGGTTTCCAAAGTAAGTTGGTAACCAGAGCTGGTGATCAGTGGATCCATCTGTTCTTTGGAATATTACATTTCTGTTTCATAATATTAAAGGATTTGACCCAGCTTTCACTGAAGCTACTGGCAAAATTTTCCCTGGCATTAGCAGAACTGGGTTCAAAGCAGGTCTGTCTTTTCCTAAAACTAAGGACTAGTGTGTTTGGAAGGTGTAACACACACACGGAGACAGAGGACATTAGAAAAAGACAGAAGACAAAAATAAACTTTTTTCTGGCAACTAAAAATTATACAAAGGTATGAGTTAACTTTAGTAAAATATTCTCCAGTTCCCTTTAAATAATGCACTAAGTTGCAGAGGGGGAAAACGAAATTGGAAGCTAAACAAACTATTTTTTCTGCCAGTTTCTTGTCACTGATCCAGTTTCAATAATACTCTGTATAATTTTCGGTTATAAGCTAATTATCCCTTCTGGCTAATTATCCTTTTTGGTAATTATCCTTTTGGGTTATTAAATATTAGTAGTTATAAAATTATTCTATACTGGATTTATAAATCAAAGAGGTAGCCGGTGTCTTTCTTGAAGCTAAGCATTTCAGAATAGTTATACCTCACCCTAGAAGTTTACAAACAGTTTCTATGCTTTTAAAATTTCTGCAAAAAATTGAATAGCATTGTTAAATGAAAGTAATTGTTCTAACTGGTATGTAGGTCAAGCTGTGTCTCCTTCTTTCCTGGGCTGGAGGAAGAGAGTCTTTCTGGACCATAAAAGATACTGTCTTATCTCACAAATCTCAGCTTCTCTGAACTCAGGGGGTATGAGGGTGGAAGTGGTTCCCCTGTGCTGTGACAATCCTTTCCCCTGCCCACTTCTTATCAGCTACTTTTGTAAAGACAGTTTGTTTAAAATAAGCAAGTTTCTCTCTTGATATTTTCTGCTGTTTCTTTAGTTAGAATAACGTTTTGCTTCATTCCTTGCAGGTGGTTCACCAGGCCCTGTTGAATGTTCATGAGAATGGCACTGAAGCTGTAGGCGTTACTGTCACAGAAATTACATGGAGATCTGGTTCTGTTTTTACTCCCAGAATTAAATTCAACAGGCCCTTCCTGATAATGATTGTTAACAAGCATACCCTTAGCATCCTCTTCATGGGGAAGATAGTAAATCCTTGTGGAAAATAAATGACCAGCTGTTGGATGTGTCATAGCACTTGGGTGTAGTGCTGGCTAAATTCCCATGATTCAGCAAAGTACATGCTGCACATATGCATCACTAGATGATAGTGATACTATTTAAAGCAGTACTAATATGCATTCCTAAATCCATAACACAGGAATATAATATTTCCTGTCTCATAAGCACTTGTGCACAGCTTACAATATAACAAACCACAAGTAACTTAAATAAACATGTCTGATTTCACCTTTTTCCTTTTTTGTAAAAGACCCTTTCAGAAAGACTCCTCAGGGGTTTTAAGATACCAAGTCACTCAGATGAATTGTGTTGGGGTCCAGATTGTTTCTTATCCACTTCATTAACACAATCCTATGATTACTGATGACTGTTTCAATCCTGGAATGATCATTCTGCCCCTTGATATTGCAAGGAATTCTGATGCTTTTGTTTTGCTTCTACTCAAAGAACAACTACAGGTCTGAAACTGCAAGTTTACCTACGGGATTGTTCTTAGTCTAGACCAGAAAAGTTTAGCTGGCCTAGCTGTACTAACAAAACAGCTTTTTTGGCCGGTATAAGCTGTGTCCACTCACAGAGGAGCCGACAACAGTTCCTTTAAGAATATCAAGTCTGCTAGCAAAAGGAATTTTTATTGGTATAACTGTCTCCACCAGATCCTGTTGCTGGTATAAATAAATTGTGAAGAGAGTTGTACCCCTATTTTTCCAGCACATTTTCTAGCACTGTTCTCCTAATACTGTTGTTTTTCTTAGAAGTAGTCTGCTCCCATTATCACATATCTAAGCAAACTTTCTATGTTTTCATATAAAACAGAAAAGGAAATGGGATGAATTATAACTCCAAAATACCTAGTCTTCTTCACTGTGAACCAGTGAAATCCTGAAGGGACTTCTAAAATATTTTTAAACCAACAAAATGAACAAAGACATACTGACAAAATGTGGGTACAGTTTGATAAAATGCCTTTTTAAATGTTAATATGGATTATTTGAGAGGCAGGGACTTTTGAAGAGGATATCTTTTGTTGGACCAACCAGATAGCTGGGAAATAGTTAAATAAGCTTTCAAATGCAAAACATTCTTCTTCACTATTCAAAAGCTTTTCTTGCTTTATCCCAACTATACAGTTGATCAAATAAAAGATATCACCCTAAAAAATCCTTGCCTTTTTCATAATTTATGAACTATCACAGCTGCATCACTCTTACACTATCATAATATGGATTATTGCTATTATTATTGAATAAAGAAATATTACAACTTGAAATATTTAGTCTGGAAACAGAGTTTAATGAGCAATGTTTTATTTTGTTTTGCATTGTTTTTCAATGGTTGTTTCTACACATGCTGTCATTTATTGCACAGTAACTGAAATTACTGCACAGTATAGGTGCATGTCTACATGTGCACACCCATACTGTGCAGTAAATACGGCAATTTATGCCAGATTGAACATACATTCAGTACCTGAATCATGCAGGTATTAAATTTATGCCTGATTAGTTACTGTGCAATAAAGCATGTGTAATGCCTTACTGCACAGTAGGGCTGTGCAAAACAGCACCATTTCATTTTGACTTCCGTTTCAACATTTCAGTGGGACAGTGTTTCATTTCAAGTTTTGTTTAGTTTCAAAACCACTGTTCCGTTTTGTTTTCAATGTTTCGCCCATAGGCTATAATGGGGAACCATGAAACTGCCTATAACTTTGTCATTTCTTGCCTGAATCAGATGAAACTTGCAGAGACAGTAGCTCCTTCTATGGGCCATGAAGCCTGCCAAGTTTCAAGAACATAAATGCAGGGGGGTACTGGGAAACTGCACCTCAAATTCTTGAAAGCAATACTTCAGTCACATGTGTGTTAAGGCACATCAAGGTGAAAACTACAGGCATGGTAGCCCCTGCTGAGGCCACAAAGCCTGCCAAGTTTCAAGGAGATAGTTGCAGCAGTTTCTGAGAAACTGCACCTCAGGCTGCTGACAAGCAAAACTCTTGACATGGGTGACAGAAAGCAGGACAGTTCAAACAATGCTGCCTTTTATACTGTTTTTCCATTCCTCCCCCAGAGCACTGGGATTGGAAGGGACATCAGGGAAGGATGACAGTCACTGGCCAGCTACACAGTCAGTATGAGAGCAGCCCTTTCCCCCTCTTCCCCCTCCCTCTCCTTACTTTCTGTTTCCCTGCGGGCAAGCCCTGCTTGAGTTTCAAAACTCGAAATGTTTTGAAACTTTCAAAACATTTTGACTGCCCTCATTTCATTTTGAGGCTGTTTCAAACCCCTTCATTTTGTGTCAATTTCACTGTTTCGAGCTCAAAACAAGTCGAAACAATGTCAAAACAAAACAGCCAGTGAAATTTCACACAGCCCTGCTATGCAGTAACCCTGTGTGTAACACTGATTTGAGACTAAAGTTAGTCTGACTGGCTTGGGACTAATGTGCTTTAATGTCTGTACATGTAGCTGCCAGCCTATTCCTACATACTGCCCAGTAATTTACTACACAGTAAATTTAAGCCGACATAAATGCACGTGTAGACATACCCAATGTGTTGCAAAGTTAAGATTTGAAGAAATTTGCAAATTTGCAATTGTTTGATATTATAAGAACAAGAATGGAGTAAATGCAACTCATTATATAGGCAAACTACTGTATAACCTTGGTTTTTCTTTCTGATATTTGTTTCTTAGTTTAACACAGTTTTAAATACCAATACAAAAAATCCTGAAAGGAACTTAATTTAATTGACAATTGAACATTTTTTTTATATTTCAAAATGGTTAGAACTGGTTGGAAAAAGGTAATAATTCAAAGCTGTCATTTTCTAAATTTGTAAAAATATTTTAAAAATGCAAAACATTCAGTTCTATAGCTGGCAAATGAAAGGAAACATTCTTTAAAATCTTACTGACATTTTTAATGGAGCGTTAATAGATATTACAATTTCTATTTTCTGACTCTCATTAAGAACAGTGGTCTCCACTAGGGATGTGTGAAGCAGGCAGTATTTGATTCAGATTCAGCCCGATTTGGGGGACAGTGATTCGATTGGCTGATTTGGATCATTGTCTTGATTCGATTCATCCAAATCTGAATCTGAAGATTTGATTCTGATTCAGAGAATCAGTGATTTGGCCATAGACACAGCTTTATATGTTTTTTCTACATACTTCAAAGTACCAGGCATGGGTCATGAATGCTGAGATGGTGGGGTGGATGGAGCATCCCACAGGAGCACGGGGTGTCCTCCACATGCTCAGCAGTGGACCCAGAAGAGGACCAAAAGTACTTCCACTTCCAGGTCTGCCACAGAGCACATGGGGGACCTCCCTGCCCCCCGGCTCAGTGACTGGTACCTCCTGGGTCCATTTCCAGGTCCACCACTGAGTGCGTGAGGGACCACCCCCCCGCGCCTCCCCAGCTCAGCGATTAGCTGTGGGGGACCCTAGTCACCGATCCGGGGGGTAGGGAGGCCCCCCACATGCTCTGCAGACCTGGAAGTGGACCAGAAATACTTCCGGTCCACTTCTGAGTCTGCTGCCAAGTGTGCAGGGTACCCTTCCCCCCCGCACTCCCATGGGATGCTCTGTCCACCCCACCATCTCAGTGTTCACGAGCTGCACCTGGTACCTCAAGGTACACAGAGAAAACATATAAAGCTGTGTCTATAGCCAAATTGTCAAATGTCTCCGAATCTCTGCAAATCAATTTGGAGGCTTTCGATTCAAGGAGACTAATAGGTCTCCTGATTTGATTTGCATTTGGGGATTTGGCCACCAAATGGGGCAAAATCTCCTTCTAATTGAACCAGTAACTGAAGCTTTGCACACTCCTACTCTCTACCCTGTGGATCTCCAGTGAATCAAATAACTTTTCTTTCTGTAACACCGTAGACATTTGCAGGATTATTAAATTAGAGGTAAAAAATGAAGTGAAGATGCATCATTAATGGAGTTGGCCAACACAAAAACAGCTTTTGCAGCATAAGCATCATATCTCATATCATATGGGTAAAATATTGACACTTTTGTAAATTTTGAAAATGTAAAAGCTGAGAGGTGATCTTGTGGCCACCTACAAATTCATTAGGGGGACACAGCAAGGGATTGGAGATGCTCTGTTCACCAGGGCACCTCTTGGGGTAACAAGGAACAATGGTCACAAACAGACAGAGAGCAGATTTAGGTTAGATATTAGAAAAAACTTCTTCACAGTAAGGGTGACCAAAATTTGGAATGGGCATCCAAGGGAGGTGGTGCTTTCCCCTACCTTGGGGGTCTTTAAGAGAAGGCTGGGTAGGCATCCGGCTAGGGTCATCTGACCCCAGTGCTCTTTCCTGCCTAGGCATGGGGTCGGACTCAATGATCTGTTGAGGTCCCTTCCTACCCTAGCATCTATGAATCTATTAATTAGATTCTGCAGTTGAGTCTCTGCATCTACGCATGTGGCCCTATTAGATCATAGTAAATGGATACACTTCACCATAAGACAGTACTTGTAAACACAAGTACTATCCTGTGGCAGTGTTTTTTAGTGCACAGAAGTGCACATGTAGATGCTGACAGGGCTAGCTGGGGCATGAGGGTGCTTCAGTGTGGGGGCTGCTTGCTGGCTAGCTCTGCCTCTGCACTGGAGCACCCTCATGCCTCAGACAGCACCTCTGCAGCATCCTGAGCCAGGGCGGAGCAGCCCCAGGCTGGCAAGCTGACCCCCCAGGGGTCCCTGCTAGCTGGGGCTGCTCTGACCTGGCTCAACATGCTGCAGTCCCAGGCACATATATAAATGTGGCACCTAGGAACAATAAACTCCAGTGCAAACTGCACTGGAGTTTATTGCTTCAAATGAATTGCACATGTAGACATGTCCACTGTGTACCTTTTTAGGATCTACCTCAGGATAGTGGGCATGGATGTCTGAACAATTTTGTTATGCCCTGGGATAAAATATAATTGTCACCTTTCTCTTATAAGGCCACAGGAGAACTTTTTGATCCACTGTGTGCATCTATAAGTGCAATTAAGGTGGAGCAATAAACTCTGGTGCAGTTCATGCTGGAGAAAACTGCTCCTGGGCACAGATTTACAAGTGCACCCAGGAGCACAACAATTTGAGACAGAGCAGAGCAGCCCTAAGCTGGCAGAGGGTCCAGGGGGTTAGTTTGAAGCTCCAGCATTGGGCAGTAGAAAGGTTAGCTGGGGCACAAGGTTACTACACTGCAGGGTTATGT